CCCCCCCCCCATTCAGGACAATATTGAAGGAAAACATAGCTGAGGTGGACCACAGGCAAAATTTCTATGGAAATCATTTTCTGACAAAATATAGCTTATTCAGCGTGATTTTTTGCACTGATTCCGAATATCATATTCATTTGGTATGAAAACATTTCATTCGAAATGAAAATCGAAAAAATGATCCGATTTTTGGGCAATTTTGCCTTATTTTATCATAGTTGCAGAAAATGTGAATTTTCTTAACAACGCTAAAACTCCGGATTACGAGCATACGTAACTTTTTTCTTATCGATCTAATGGTTTGAACGCTGAAAAAAAAAGTCATTTTAGCTCTTACAGAAAAAAAGGAGATAGGTTTACAATGTAAGGCTCTCGATTATATACATGGTGGATCTTGGCAAGCCAATCAAAGGACATAAGATCGATGAAATTTTATCAAACTCATCAAAATACCACAGCTTTATGTGCTCGATTTAGATAAATATACTTTTGTTCAGAAAAGTCTAATCAAACATACATCAATCCTGAGATTAATGGTAAAAACCCAGCTTTTTTGGATTTTCTTAAATTTGTTGTATGTTACAATTTTCTCGGGTCAGGTGAGATCTGGAAATTTGAAAGGTATATATTCTGAATCAGCGCGAAAAGCTCTATCGACTGATGTATAATTCATTGAGTTTTGTTCTCTGCTCAACTTTTGCATTACGTGCACCTTACCATCTAAACGATTTTTTCGTTCAATATAAAATAAACCAGCTTTATAAAAATAACTCTCAATAATAGTAGACATTACTGATAGTGGAAAAAAACGTATGAAATAATAATAAAAATCTCTGCAATTTCGGTTTATGTTAGTTCACTAAAGCAAGGAGTTTTCGTTGTTCTTATTTTCATTTGGTTTAGAATCAGCAGTATTCTATAATTTTATGAGTATTTTTGTGGATTGGATCATATCTAAATGAGTTGTCGTACGAATCATATTTTTCTTTCAGTATGATTATATGTATGATCATATGTAGTTTGTTCAAGCAATAGATGCTATGCTTTTCTTTGTGCATTTGTATGACTATTTTAAGTGATGAATAGGTAGAGAATGATTAATAACTTTAATCTCATTATGATATCATGATCACTCAAGTGTCAATGTTTGAATTAATGAAAGTAGCTTTGGATTTCACAATTTTTCTTTCAAACTTGTGATGATTTTCTAGAACTCACTGCCGAAAAAAGGAATACTCGTTAAGTTTCAGAGAAAACTTATGAATGCCAATAAAGTATTATCACTTATCATGTTTCAACGTACAGGTACAGGGTCAATCAGTAGAACTAAAGACGAATTATCATTTGATATCAGATCTGCTTGTAGGCCAAGCTAGGTCTAAAAAAAACTGACCTATAGATTATCGATTTTGACTTACTCAGTTAATTGTTTATTCTTCAGAAATTGATCTACTGACTGAATCAATGAATACACTTATCTTTCACTTATTATTTTTAAATGCACTGTTTAAATATTTATTTTAGAAATGAGCCAAATGTTAAGATTTATTCATATTTAGAAGGGTGTGGGTGTGAGTTTAATTCAAGAATAGAGCAACACCCACATCCTCAAGTGGAAAAATTTCACGAGGGTTGACTTTGTCCTGAGGGGGAGTATAGGGATCTTCTCGACGCTACCCCGCACCCCCCAGTCATCACTTTTTACGAAAAAATCAGGTAATGTGAATAGCTATTTTTTTGCAAATAAGGCACATACATTTGAGGCGCGGTTGGACGTACAATACCTAAATTTTGGTGAATTTTTTACTTTTAGTGAAAATAATCGTATAATTCCGAAAACGAAATCCTATATAGGAATTCCTATAATTTCGAAAACTTGTAATCGGAGGCCAGGATAATAGCAGGACAGGACATTTTCTTTTAATCAAGAACAAATATGTTTTTTCATTAGTGATTCGTATCGAAACATCCCGAATAGATTAAATGCATGAAAATCGTCAAAAGTTTTCTTTTGTATTTTTACATAGATATTCTTCTTGACATAAAATCACGCTGAAGTGCAGCAAGATTCGATCTCACTCAAATAACATGCAACATAAGTTGTTTTTCTTGTATTCTACTTTTCACATCTTTAATTCTATTAACTTCTAATCAGTTTATTTACATGATCAATTAACAATATTCAAAAACATTTTTGTATATGGCAAATAGTCTTTGAAATGCATTGGAATTGAAATTTCCTCAGGTGTACATAAATAAAGCAATTTGGAACAATTGATTCGTGTTGCTTCTCTTGTAAAATTGCGTGTCACTGTATCTAAAACTTCATAGTCGACTTCGATGTCGAGTTTCATTGGTAAACATGTTTTAGTGTCCCGTAGAAATTGTTCGGCATAATCATCATGAGCTTCTTCAAGATCAAGTTTAGTAAGATGAGAATATTCAATGACTGATCAATGTTGATCATCATCGTTTGATTGTTGAGAAAATTTGTTTTTCTGTGGTTGTTTATTGTTGATACTTAATGTTTCTATCAATGGAAAAGATTTAGCAATTCGAAGAAAAAATTCATGTTCAAACGGACGTTCATCAAATAATGAAATTTCACGAACATGTTCAAATATTCCATCTGGTAAACTATTTATAATATAATCATAATATTGTACGTGATGTGGAAATGAATAAATCTGACATTGACCTTGTTTACGATTTGAGAAATAATCAACATATGAAATAACTTGATGATCATAGAAATCTTTGAATGAATGTTGAATATCTTCATTTGATGATAAATAAATTTGATCGTTGAGATACAACAATGAACGTATGTTAAATGTAAATTTTTTTAATTCTAATAAATGATTGATAATATTCTCTTTCAAATCATAACCATCAATAAATCTTTTCTCATAATGCACTGAAAGATATAAATCGAGTTCTTCTAGATTTGACATTCGATGTAGAAGTGGTAAAATTAATTCATTATATTGATTTGTTCCCCTTTTACAATGTAATGAAAAATGTTTTAGATTGGGTATTTTTTTCTAAAAAAAAATAAATTAATTCATTTGAATATATTAGATATTGATCTGAACAATGTACTTCATTATCGATTAGTCTTTGTGTTGGAAACATGTGATAAATATCAACATAAAATGTTCAAAGTTGATCGAAACGACCATCAACTAAATAAAGACAATCGATAAAATTCTGCACACTGACACGTAATTCTAATAGAGTTGGACTGACAACAATTGGAGTCAAACTTCGAAATAATAATCGTTGATACGGAAACAAAGATGGACCAAAATTCAAACATTGTAACTTGGAACTTACAGTTAAAATACGTGTAAATATATGTACATTGCCATTTTCTGCTAAACTTAGATCTTTACGTTGAACAATATCGATAACAAGTGATAAAATTTGATTTTGAAATATATGAATTAAAGGACTTTCCTCTAAACATGAATTTAAAATTAATGAGAAAACACTTTAAATATTGACTATTATTGCATCCATTTTTTCAGTATTTATCTTTCTTTCTATAATAAATATTAATTTTTTCTATTCTGGTACATTGATTTCTAACGATATTTTTGTCTGTTTATGTATGTATTCAAAGTATTTATGATTGAGAAAAAAAATCCAAGTGAAATCTCTTACCAGTAAAGATACGTGAAGCAGTTTCCTTCTCGATATGATATATACCAAGTCCATATAAATTGGGATAATTTGTCGAAAGAAGAATAGGTTCCATAGATGGTGATTCAACATTGAGCCATTTGATTTTATGATGAATCGAAGGTAAAATTTGTAAACAAAATCGATCAAGTATTCGTTTATTTAATCGATCAGATAAACTATTAGAGGAATCACGTATTAATGTTAAACAATTCGTAAAAATTGAATCATGTACAATTTCATTCAATCGTTTATTAACACCTATGAACGAGTAGAGTACTTCGGCATTGGAGATTTTTTTCAAAATAATCATAAGAATTTCATCAGGTAAATCATGCAACTGAATCAACGAACCGTCCATGTTTAACTTCATCTGTCTTTTTTTTTCTTCGTTTATATAGACTTATTCTATTTGACTAATTTCGTCAATGAAAACAATGACACATTTTCCTATACTCTAAATTGACGGTGAATGAATGTAAAAAAAATCATATTGTCTTTCTGTCTTTCTTTCTCTCTCTCTCTCTCTTTCTTGATATTTTATGCACCGATGAGTATCAATGTAATAAAGTATTTAATATGTTATTCTTGTCTGATCGAAACTGTTTGTTTAAAAGTTAAATATTTCAATTTCAATAGAATATTTTGAGAGATAATATTTAACAGTTGTTTGTATCTTTTTCATTTGATTCAATTATTTATAAAACAATTCTAAAGAAAAACTGACAAAAAACAAAATAAATAATTTGTATAATAGAAATCACCATGAGAATTATGTATATGGATATATTCATTTTAAGTCATAAATTTATTTATTTGATTATGAGTTCAAAAATAAAATAAAATAACTTTTCCCTGTTAAATAGAAAAGTTTAAATTAGAAAATCTGAGAAATTGAAAGGAGAATGATTATTCTCTAATTCTTTCACGGCATTTGCAAATAATTTTACATGTTTCTGATGATTGTTTGTTTCATGATGAATACTAGCGCCCTCCACATGTCATCGAAAAGAATATCTGCGGCCGTTTATCGATCAATTCAATCATTGAATCTTTGTATATTTCGAGCAAAAAAACCTACATAAAGACCTTGTCTGCACTAGAAAAATGATGCGATTTAAATTTTGAATTAAATTGATCTGCATCTACACTTATAAGTTTAATACATCAATCAGAACCGAGATCTTTCCACTATTATATAGTGGGAGTGCATAATTCTAGCATGTATTCACGAAAAGAAAATGTTACTTCTATCTCTATAATAACTAATGACTGCCTAATGGAATTTGTTACACAGAATAGACAAATAGAAGTACAGGAAGTATAAGTAAAAACACTTGTTACTTAATAATGGTACTTTGGACTTTTATTCAAGTACAATTACTTATGCATATTGGTACTAAGTACTCGTACTTAGTACATATGCACTTAAGTGTCAGTACCAAGTACCAATGCACCGAACGGCCATACTATGGTATAACCATATATATAGCTCATTGACTACCGTTTAGATTTATCATATACTTTTGTTTTGTATTATACTCACATATATACTACAATACATATATTATGATTGATATGATTGAAATATATTATCAATCATTATCAACAGAAATTATTAATTGTTTATCATGATTATTACTAATAGCAATGAATAGATGAGCATAGTCGGAAAACGAAGGTTCTCAAGGCATTAATCGGCATATAAAACAATGGTATATAACTTTGTGCATTTTGATTTTAGATCATAACACCAGTATATTTATTTTTATTAACATTATCACTAACACGAGCGCTTATTTTCATTTGGTTTTTACTAAGGATCCTCTTCCTCTCAAAAATGGATTTTACGTCATGTACATGCAAGTCTCATGAAATTTTCAGGATATGTTGGGGCTGTAACGGAGAGGAGGCTATGATAAATTTTTTAGCCCTATATCATGATGTTTGAGGGAAATACTCACCGAACAATGATCAAAAATAGCTCATTTGGCATCCCAAATTTCTCTGTTCAGGCTCATTCTATAGATTTAATTATGTTTTTTTGTTTTACAGAGCATCTCAAGGTGCAGAGCTCCAAAGAGTCAGTTTTTTTAAATTCTTACTTTTTAAGCGAAAAAAAAGGGATGATAAATTCAGTCACTGGAAAAACTCTCAAAAAATGGCGCTCCAATTATAGAAGCGCTTTTTTTATATAATAAAAACAATGCTTAATTTAAAAAAGACTCTGTGGTGCCCTGCATCTTGGCATGCTCTTTAAAACAAATAGGAATTAAATATATAGAATGAAAACCCATAGAGAATTTTGGATTGCGCGATCCAGAAAGCATAAACTGAGAAAAAAACGAAAAAACATTTTCCATTTTATCTGAAAAAATACATATTTTTCAACGGAAATCATTAAAAATGTTGACCAAAAATGAGGCATTAAATTAAAAATCATATTGTTTGTGAAAGAGCAAAGTTCGGGCTATCTTCCCATACATTTATCTTCATTTCTATGTTTTTGACAAAAATTGACTTTTTTTTTAGGAGGCCTTAACTATTGAATGACCACTGGAATTTGAAGAAAATACTATGTGAGGAAACAATTGTTGCAAGGTTTAATATCTTTAAAAGCTAATCAAAGTTTATTGTAAATTACTTGATAGTTTTTATTGTGTCTATCAGCTGCTTTTTGTTATCAGATATTATTAGTCATTTTCCATTTATTTTTAACTAATTTTTTTTTCTTTTATATCAAGAAAAAGTTATTATGCTAGTCATTTACTGAGGGTGTGGGAGTGGGGTGTGGGTGTGGGGTGTGGGTGTGGGGTGTGGGTGTGGGGTGTGGGTGTGGGTGTGGGTGTTCTTATCTCTTTATCCACATCCACACCCACGCCCATACCCACACCCAAACCCTAACACCCACGCACCCACACCCACACCCACACCCACACCCACACCCACACCCCACCCACGCCCATACCCACACCCACACCCAAACCCTAACACCCACGCACCCACACCCACATCCACGTCCAAACCCTAACACCCACGCGCCCACACCCACACTCTATGGATATCCTAATAGGATTGGCCTTGAGGACCGATGGATACCCCCATAGTATAGGTCTTGATGACCTATGGGTACGGCCATATTATAGGCCTGGAGGACTTATGGGCGCCCCTAGATAGGACTTGGAAAGATCTAGGTAGTACCCCTAGAAAGACCGTAAAGGATTATAGGTACTATCCCTAGATAGTTTGCCATTAAAAAGATTTTTCTTCTTTTCTTAACTTTTCTTTATTTTTCAAAAACAAAGGTAAAGAAAACCTTTGTTTTTTAAAGACAAAGAAAATCTTTGTCTTTGTTTTCAAACTAAAGACAAATTAACACTCCTAGTTGATAGGGATGAAAAATGTTGAAGTGGTTTGCGTAGTTTTCAAGGTTACTTATGAGTATAATTCTCAGATGTCCAGGTCATAAATTCCAAAAACTACAAAAGAGTATTTTCTTTCAGAAGCTAGAAAGTACATTGTTAGATCAATTAGGTTTAAAATAATTCGTTGCAACTCATTTCGTTGCTGATCTATTCAGCGCAAACAAATTCATCGCACAAAAGGAAAGGAAAAAACTAATGAAATTGAAAGAAGTGCTTCTTTTTGGCTTCTTATTCAATACAACACACGATTCAATCTTCGGAATAAGGAACAATCTTCGATCACGGCGATGAAACGTAAAATTGAATTGAAAATGAATTGAATTTGCAGAAAAAGATCTGCGAAATAAAATAAACCAAAAATTGTAAAAACTTAAAATTCAGTTTGTTGATATAGAATTTTAATATAAAGTAATACTAAAAAGATTCTCGTAATCTGATTTTTAGAAATTGATGGTGCTCATTTTGAATTAATGCGTGTTTCGAAGTTTGAACTAAAAATAAAAGAAATTGTAGACTGGAAAATGTTGTCGAATATTCTGTTTAGAGCTTAGCTTTATTTACATTTCAGATATGAAAATTCTGGCGTTCCCTATACCCTATTAGCTGAGATGTTAGTCTAATAAAGAGCCCAAAACTGGTAAAACTAGTTTTTTTCGTTTGTTCAATTTCTTCCTTAGACTTTAGTATTTCAAACGTAATTCAATTTCAATACAATTCTATATTTTATTATTGACATAGACACCTATTTATTATTCCAAAGATTGAGTTGTGTGTTGCATTGAATAAGAAGCCAAAAAGGAAGCGCTTCTTTCGATTTAATTATTTTTTCTTTTTTTTTTATACAAGAAATAAACCGAAGTCGAAATGATCGGCAACGAATTATCTGTGCGTTGGATTTCTGATTGATTTTCAAAGAATATCATCACAGTATGCTAATGTTCAAGCTCGTTTGACATCATTGAGTTTAGTCATAATGTTTGCATTGAGAAATAAAACATGTGCATATCTCAATTGAAAGAAAGTTTCATTGATTCTACCCTACTATTGAAAACTATTTGTAAATATCTATTCTCGATTTCAGTTTTAAATCGAAAAAAACTATAGACTGATTTGGCTCCTTATTATTCAAATATACTATCATATGATTTCAATTATCACCTACAGATCTCCTACAGCAAGTCACACAGGATTAAAAGACTAGTGATTTGAGGTGATACGAGGCTTACGATTTTTCTTTGCGTGTTGCATACAAAAGTAAAAAAATCTGAGTATTGTCAATGAGTTTTCAAGAAGGGGGGGGGAGCTGGATGAGTGACATTTTAAATTCACTCTCGCTTGTGCAGCAATTTTATTTATACGAAATTCATGACTTTGCATTAGATGTAAAAAATTAAAATATCTTAATTGAATTTTTTTCGTTGGCAAATTGGCTTGATAGAACCTGAGCGCCTCATATGTATATACAAGAAGCCTTTGTATAGCATAAATTTTCTCATTTTGAAGAAACCTACAAGATATATATATGTCTATAAATTTTGACTCTTCTGGCTGCAATATATAATACGAGGCGTTAGTGGAGTCAAATACAAACGTTCATTTTCTTATCGAACACAATCGCACACTACAATCAAGATCAAGTCGATAAACCTAGCAAAGCATAGGGTAATCATTCTTATCCAGTATTGTTAACTATACTTGCAGATCCACACAATATTCCGTGTTATCCTCCGCTATCGGTACCATTTGTAGGTAAAGTGTCTCATCAAGCGCGTAATTCACCATTGCAATTTCTGTCTCTATTCTTACGAATCATTCAATCTAGTATCATCATTCATTGACAAAAGATATGCGATCTCATTTTACTATCCATGTAACCACCCGATCACCAAAAAATAATATCCATTCGGCGAACAATCAGTCTGCCAATCCTCAAGACATTTTGTTCCCGGTTATATTCTTAAAATCTTTGATTATTCATATTTTCTCTCTGTGTAAATAGATGTCAACTATTTTGGCTGCGCGTTATCATCAAGGTAAACCCCAGGCTGCTGTGATGGGGGAGGGGAGGGGGTAGGAGGAAAGAGGGCAAAAGAAATATATGAGAGGTGACCGCTCGCCTCCCCCCTCCTCCGGGATGTCTTTTCAACAGGCGAAGATAAATCTGCCAAACAAATTGTCAATCAAAATTTTGGTAAATCAGTAAACAATCAAACGCCTGCCGACAATGCCACCAAAATTGATCAATATTCCCAGTCATCAATACAGGTGAGATAGTAAAATGAGGAGCATGCTCATTATTAGATTCTATACGCCTAAATATTAATAATTGAAGATTTAGAAATTGTTTAGTTTTCGTTCTATGAACAAGTTCGCATTTGAAGTATATACATCTTCATCGAATTTTAGAAACGGTCAAAAGTTCTAGTTTCATGCAAAATTCGATAGAGAGTGTCCAACAATTTTTTACCCTAATAAGTATATTTGTGTGCAACTAGCATGTTTCACCACATACTTTGTTAGCTAAACTCTTAATGAAGCGGTTCTCCAGACTGAAAGAATGATCATTGTAATAAAAATCTAATGTTTTTCTATAAGTAAATGATTTTTATGTATGCTTGCTACTCTTTTTTTCCTTTGATCAATGGGCAACGTAATTTGAATCCATACAACAGCTAATTTTAAGAAATAGAATTTATATCTAAAATATTTAGTGAAAAAGGATAGAATGATAACAGAACTAGAGAACTTTAGCGTCCTGTTACACAGAAACTGCATTTTGGCGCGTTTTCAAAGAAAAATGTTTGCCTTTAAGCATCGTTTGCATAAAACAAACTCGGAATGTATTCGTTTACATAGTGTCTATGTCGATAAGAAGTATTTCAAAAGGGAAGTACTAAATAAGGATTGAAAATGCAAGGAAATACTATCATGTTATATGTATTTAACAGTCTTTTTCTTAGTTAGTTTCCCTATTATAATTGAACTTTTCTGGTTCCATCAAAAACACCTGCCTTAGAAAACGCGTTCGAGATTGATCAAAAGTCAGATGATAAAATGAAGGAGTTTCGAGAATATATTTTAGCAAGATAACGAATGGTCAACAAGTATTTATTGGTAAAAACTAAAGTGACTTAGTTCTGATGACATTTCCATTTCTGTTAGTTAAATATAAAATTATTTTTGTCCCAATGGGTCACATTTGCATTTGAGTTATTATTACAAATAATTTTATTTGATTCGATGATAAAGCTGAAACCAAAATGAAACTATTTATCCTTTTTCTTTTGTCTATATTCATCTTTTAAATTAATTCAGGCAACTGACTCATCGTCAAATGGAGTGGATTTTCAGGATATTCATCACCAAGCGTCGAACACATATAAAAAGAAGTGGTAAATCATTGTTTTGCATTTTTTTTGTTATTAAGTTTTAAAAATCTTTCGCTTAGCTATTTTAAACACATTCATTGCCAATATTCGCCTGTCTGTTTAATTTTGTCTCCACTTGCTCTTCTTCTTCTTGGCACGGGCATTGCTGCAATGCTTGTCGCCTTGATCGGCATCCCTAAAATGACAATAACAACAACAACAACAACAGCGACAACCGCAACAACAGCAACAACAACAACGGCAACAACAACAACGGCAACAACAACAACAACAGCAACAACAACAACGGCAACAACATCAACAACATCAACAACAAGTAATCTCTCTTGTTTTTAGCTAAAAATCTTTTTCGAACAAAAAGTATTTTTTTATATATAAGCAACAACATCAATATGAGATCAGTCAAAAATTACGCTTGCTTACACTAAAAGAGATTCCTAAAATAATGATGTAGTCATTGAAAAAATTTAAAGTTCGTCATAGAAAATATTTAAGAAGTTGCTGTTACTAAATTAATTGACTATAGTGACTATTCTCTCTACTTGTAACAACGATTAGAGACGAATTTATCCAAGGTACATGTTCAGTTTATTGTTTATAATATTTTTTATTGGTAGCTATAGGCATGTACCGAACCTGAATTTCGGTTCAATCTTCGGGACCGAATGGTTCACGTTCAGACTCGAATTTCGGTTCGGGCTCAGAAACTATCCATCCGGTTCAGACAATGTCTAATATTACGCTAACTGTCGAAGCGTTTCTTGAGGTACGTGGGAGATCATGGACGCACCCTGAAATTCGGTCAAGTTCGGGTCCGAGTATTTCTGAACACCTTTGCCATTTTCTAGGATACCTCAGGTTCTTCGATTTTTGAATCATTTCTTTTATTGCGTTCAGATGTACTTTCCCCCTTCCCTTCCCCCCCCCCCCCCCGCTATTAGAAGATCTAGAGTATTTCATTATGTTGAAGCGTACAAAGTTTCCAGGGAGGTCTTCTTATAGAATTTCGCGATAGAATTTTTTCAGAAACCAGTTAAATTTTAAAAACTCAATTATCGTCACTTCTTACTATCTATTACCTAGCCCCTACGCACAAATTTTCTAAGGGGTGGACTGTATTTTCTGAAGAGGAGGCTACACAGTCAAAAATCATAATTTTTCGCTTTGCAGAAATTTTCTCCTTCCTACTTCTCTAATTTTCTGAGAGGGAGAAGCTAAAGCCTCCTTAGCCTCCGTTTCGATATGTCCATCTCTGTATAGTATATAAATGTTCATCAGCTAGTTATAATTAGGTTTGTACTGAATCTGGTTACTTTATTTCAAAGACAATATGTTTTAAATATTAGAAACTTACGGAGTAAGTCTACAATTCTTTTTTGTCAGATATCACCAGCTTTGTCTACTCAACCCGAAACTAGTGCATCACTTTATCAAATTTAGAAAACAAAGTCCAGAGTTGAGTAGGATTCGTTAGAAATTCAGGAAATAGAAAATTTTGATCGAATCTCATCGAAGCCGTGAACATTTTTCTAGAGTGGATAAAATATAGCTCGCGTTTGGGTTAAAATAGGCACAACTGGTAGAGTCCATCACAAAAGATCCGTTGATTCTGAAGTTTTTAAGTATCAAAAATATATGATCCTTGCATCAAAGTAACAGGGTTCAGGGCATGTCTGATTTTAATAGTTAAAATAACTGATTACTCCTTTCCTCAGTTCTCTGTTTTTGTGCCTCGAAGTCAAGGGAAAACATCGTGCTCATCCTCCTAGCTACACCTGAGTAATCCAAAGTACTCAAAATCGATGTTCTCCTTGCTTGAGGGCGTGGGTGTGGGTGTGGGTGTGGGTATGGGTGAGTGTGGATGTAGGATGTACATGTGTCTGCGGGCGTGGTTCTTTTATTAATGTACACCGACACTCACACCCACCCACGCCCCACATCCACACCCTTCTATACGTTTTTTACATTTGAAGTGCTGACGCCGTAGAAGAGTAGCATCGAACGCTTTACTATTTATCCACTAGTGTTTGATACAGAATGAGCGAATGGCGTCGTAAAATTGTCAACAAATTTTTTCAAACTGATCTGTATAGAAAGCGTATGGGCAAAACTAAACAAAGAATTCATGATACTTCGTAAGAAAGAGACGAGTTCTCTCAGCCTTTTCGCTTGCTTGCGCTTGAGAATATTCTAAAAAGTTCCGAAGCAATGGAACGAAATCCAAGACTTTTCTAGTCTCTTAGGGTATGTTTTTTCGTGTCGTTAAATTCATAATCCATCAGAATTTGATTGAATGAGGAAAAACCCAATTTTTTACAATTTATGTAAAGAAAAGTAACCAAAACTTAATATTTTTATTGAGTAAATTTAAGAGGACAACTTCGATTGAACTTTTACTGTTGCATCTAATGTAGTAGGATACTATAGTGAGTTATTGTCAAGTGACAAAAAGTTAAGTATTTTTGAGAATGTCCCATCAAAGAAAAATCGATCGGAGTCTCAACCATTGATGCGTCAATTCTTCAATCAATAGTTGTCCGCGGAGCTCTTCGAAAGCTCAAAAATGCTATAGTCTTTTTTGTTTAATAGCTTAAAATGAAACAGAAATATAGTTAAAATACTGAGAGATTCATTATTTATAGACCACATATTCTATTCGAAATCAGTATATAGTCCTTGAGTAAAATGAGATGCTTATCTATCGACAAACGCGGTTCACTTTTTACTAGACTATTGAACTGCGATAGAATTCCTGAAAACAATGAGTGATTGCATAATGCAATACTTATGCAGTAAGAAAAAAAGAAAATTAAGAAAGTCCTGTAAACATTTATTGCCCCTTCTCGACTTCAGCATGACCAGCATGGATAGTCATTCAATATTCATAAGGAAAAATATCAGCTAATAACTACCTTCTGAATATTATATTATTTACAGCACTATTGAAAAGAAAAGAATTTTATAAAACTGTTGATAATAAACTG